AACTTTGCACTACCAAAAATAAAGAATGTCCAAAAGGGGAAATTATGAACCCCTTCATTGCCATGCACTTTTTTTTTTTTTTTTAAAAAGCATAACGTTTCTTTTGAAGTAAAGGATGCACAGCTAGCATATAAACATATAACCATAGCACAGCAATATTGAATAAACATTCCTTTGCAGACAAACTTATAAAACAAAAAATATGTATATGTAAACTTTTTTTTTTTTTTTTTCTTAGTTGTTCAGCCTTTATAACATTTTTGGGAATTGAAATGCTTTATACTGTATACCGTTGCCTTTATCTTGCAATATTTCACTCAGGGTCTGAAAAGCTAGTATAAAATCTAAAAATTCACTTTTTCTCACATATAGTATTGTGATAAACTAGATAAATAAATAATATATGGTCAAATGCCTTGCTTATATGTATTTAGAATCACCCTGTATGGATTAATAGTAGTGCAGTTTATGAACAATTGCAACATAATGTAGAAATAATTTCTTTATGTGTGCATAATGCCCACATACAGTAAACATTCCTCCCAAGTTATGTTTTATTTAGAAGTGACACTCCCTATGTTGAAAAACAATCTCTCTGTCCCACAATTCTAATTCCTTCTTTCATAGGCGCTCCATACTGCTGGTGTGTATTCCACAGCAATAACACTCACAGTAATGTGTTTTTAAACTACATTAAATGTGTTCATAAATTAGTCTGCGTAAATAGGTTACGTTATTCTTGTTCTAAATTACATTTTGGTATCATAAACTGTTATTAATAAGTCACCTAAAATTTCTCAGAAAAAAACAGGTCCTAGCCACACCATTACTCACACCACTGAAATGTAAGTGTCCCTCTCAGGGATTGACTGACAACCTTTTGGACCCTGGGCAAAATTAGGTCCTGGGCCCTTTCAAGTTCAATATATATGTAGTAAAGGAACACTATAGTTTCACAAATATAAAAATGTATTACTATATGTCTAAATAGCCTTTTAGGTGATCGGCACCCATTGTCCCCTCTTAAAAAGGTGATTTTACTTATCTTTACCCCTCCTCGTGGCTGCCTCAGCCTCGTTGCCTGAGATCATCAAATGCGATGATCTCAGATAATCCAGATAATCCAATGCTTTCACATAGGAAAGCATTGAGAGGCTATAAAACTGCACCAATCAGCATCTCCTCATATTGATAAATTTAATCAATGGGGGGCGTTCAGCATATCCATGCAGAGTCCCAGGAAGCACCTGTAGTGGCTGTCTGGGTGACTGCTACTAGAAGTGTTCCTAGCAATGTAGACACTTCCTTTTGTCTTTTCTATGAAAAAGCAGTACTTACATTAAAAAGTCTAGAGAGACAGGCAGCATTAAGCTGTAGTTGTTCTGGTGACTGTAGTCAGTGGCGTACTAAGGGGGGGGGGCGGCCCTCTCCGGGTGCCACTGACTAGGGGGGTGCCATGACTTCCAGTGTCATGTGTCACCCCCCATCATTACGCTGCACACAGCCGCAGCACCTTTGCGGCCCGGCGGGACTTACTTCATGGAGGATGAGAAGGGGGAGAGTTGCGGGCCACGGCGTTGTGCAACGTGATGACGACGTGCGCAGCGCCGTCAGTCCGCCTTCACGGATCTTCAGCGGAAGGATCCAATATCCGGGTGGTGAGGCACCCAGTGGTTGGTCTCGGAGGCAAGGCATCATCAAAACGTGAGTAGTCATTTTATGTGATGGGGCTAAATTAATTAAAGGGGGGTGGATAATGGATTAATTAAAGAGTTTAAAGCGGTGTGGATTAATTAAGGGGGTGTGTGGATTAATTGAGGGGGGTGGATTAATTAAGGGGTGTGTGGATTAATTAAGGGGGGGTGGATTCATTAAAGGGGGGTGTGGATTAAAGAATTAAAGGGGGAGGTTTAATTAAGGGGGGTGGATTCATTAAAGGGCGTGTGGATTAAAGAATTAAAGGGGGTGGATTAATTAAGGGGGTTGGATTAATTAAGGGGTGTGTGGATTAATTAAGGGGGGGTGGATTCATTAAAGGGGTGTGGATTAAAGAATTAAAGGGGGAGGTTTAATTAAAGGGGATGGGGATTAATTAAAGGGTGTGGATTAATTAAAGGGGGCTGTGGATTTATTAAAGGGGGTGTGGATTAATTAAAGGGGGGAGGTTTAATTAAAGAATTTAAGTGGGGAGGTTTAATTAAAGGAGGGGTGTCGATTAATTAAGGGGGGTGGACTCATTAAAGGGGAGGTTTAATTAAAGGGGGTGGGTATTAATTAAAGGGGGTGGATTAATTAAAGGGGGCTGTTGATTTATTAAAGGGGTGTGGATTAATTAAGGGGGGGAGGTTTAATTAAAGAATTTAAGTGGGGAGGTTTAATTAAAGGAGGGGTGTCGATTAATTAAGGGGGGTGGACTCATTAAAGGGGAGGTTTAATTAAAGGGGGTGGGGATTAATTATAGGAGGGTGGATTAATTAAAGAAGGGTGGGTTAATTAAAGGGTGTGTGGATTAATTAAGGGGGGTGGATTCATTAAAGGGGTGTGGATTAAAGAATTAAAGGGGGAGGTTTAATTAAAGGGGATGGGGATTAATTAAAGGGTGTGGATTAATTAAAGGGGGCTGTGGATTTATTAAAGGGGGTGTGGATTAATTAAAGGGGGGAGGTTTAATTAAAGAATTTAAGTGGGGAGGTTTAATTAAAGGAGGGGTGTCGATTAATTAAGGGGGGTGGACTCATTAAAGGGGAGGTTTAATTAAAGGGGGTGGGTATTAATTAAAGGGGGTGGATTAATTAAAGGGGGCTGTTGATTTATTAAAGGGGGTGTGGATTAATTAAAGGGGGGAGGTTTAATTAAAGAATTTAAGTGGGGAGGTTTAATTAAAGGAGGGGTGTCGATTAATTAAGGGGTGGACTCATTAAAGGAGGTTTAATTAAAGGGGGTGGGATTAATTAAAGGAGGGTGGATTAATTGGGGGGTGGATTCATTAAAGGGGTGGATTAATTAAGGGGTGCATTAATTAAAGGGGTGTGGATTGCTAATTAAAGGGAGAGGTATAATTAAAGGGGGTGGATTATGGGGGTGTGTGGATTAATTAAGGTGGATTAATTAAAGGGGTGTGGGGATTAATTAAGGGGTGGGGATTAATTAAAGGGGGTGGATTAATTAAAGAGGGCTGTGGATTAATTAAAGGGGGGTTTAATTAAAGAATTAAAGGAGGGTGGATTAATTAAAGGAGGGTGGGTTAATTAAAGGGGGGTATGGATTAATTTAAGGGTGTGTGGATTAATTAAAGTGGGAGGTTTAATTAAGAGGGGGTGGATTAATTAAGAGTGTGTGGATTAATTAAGAGGGGGAGGATTCATTAAGGGGGGTGGATTCATTAAAGGGGTGTGGATTAAAAATTAAAGGGAGGTTTAATTAAAGGGGTGGATTAATTAAGGGGGTGGATTCATTAAAGGGGTGTGGATTAACAAATTAAGGGGGTATAATTAAAGGGGTGGCTTAATTAAGGGGTGTGTGGATTAATTAAGGGGGGTGGATTCATTAAAGGGGGTGTGGATTAAAGAATTAAAGGGGGAGGTTTAATTAAAGGGGGTGAGTATTAATTAAAGGGGGTGGATTAATTAAAGGGGCCTGTGGATTAATTAAAAGGGGGTGTGGATTAATTAAATGGGGAGGTTTAATTAAAGAATTAAAGGGGGAGGTTTAATTAAAGGGGGGTGTGGATTAATTTAAAGGGGTGGATTAATTAAAGGGGGTGGGTATTAATTAAAGGGGGTGCAGCGTGGGGGAAGTTTATTTAAGGGGGGTAGGTTTAATTAATGGGGGGGTGCAGGGTTTTTTTAATTAAGGGGGTTGCAGTATTTTATTTATTAAGGGAGGATGTGCACTGCAGATTTTTGTGTAGGGCGTGTATGAAATTTATGTGATCTGGATGCAGGGTTTTTATATGAAGGGCAAAGGGCAGAGTTTTTCTAGAAGGGGCGAGACAAGGGGCTTTGTAGAAAGGGGCAGGGCAGGAGTTTTCTAGAAGTTTCTCACCAGCCCCTTTCTACAAAAACACTGGTTAAAAACACTGGTATTCCCCCTTCTACAAAACTGGCCCATTTATACAAAACCTCTGCCTTGGCCCCCTTCTACAAAACCTCTGCCCTAGCCGCTACATCTTTTGAACCCAAATCCCTTTCCTATGCTGTTTCTCTTCCTAGAAATGTGTTTAACCCCTTAAAGGATCAGCTCAATGAAGTGGTCTGGGTGCCAGGTCATGTTTTAACCCTGCTATGATTTAACCCTGCAGCTGAAAACATAGCAGTTTCAAAGATGTTTCACTGAGGGTTAATCCAGCCGCTAGACGCGCTTCCGCAGTTCTCACTGAAAACTCACTGTGAGAAGACGCTGGACGTCCATAGGAAAGCATAGAGTAATGCTTTCCTAAGGGCAGTTTGAATGCGCACATGGCTCTTGCCGTGCATGCGCATTCGGATCTGACGTCGGCAGGGGGAGGAGAGGTCACCAGCGCCGAGGGAGCCCGAAGCTGGAGAAAGGTAAGTGGCTGAATGGAATTAAAGGGGTTAAAACCCCTTCAGCCACTTACCTTAATCCAGTGCCGGGCTCCCTCAGCGCTGGTGACCTCTCCTCCCCCGCTGACGTCAGCTCCCAAGTGGAGCCGAATGCACATGCGCGGCAAGAGCCGCGTGTGCATTCAAACAGTCCATAGGAAAGCATTTCTCAATGCTTTCCTATGGACGTTCTGCAAGCTGGATGAGATTTTTGCATCTAGAGGGTTAAAATCTGGGGGACCTTGCACCTAGACCACTTCATTGAGCTGAAGTGGTCTGTGTGACTATAGTGTAGGGACCTGGTTTGGGCTGGGTTAAATACCCTGGGTTGTCTACTTTTACAAATGGTATGCCAAGATGGGAAGTATAAGATAGATATCGCACTAGCGCACCCTAGAGCCAAAATAAATTTAGGATTTTTCTGCAGAAAACACCAATATGAAGCGAAATCGACCAAGCGGGTCTCCGCAACGAAAAATTAAGAAGGCAAGAGAAAAGTCAGCTGAGGCGATGTCTGGATCAATTTTAAAATATGTTGCACCTTCAACATCTACCGCAGTAGGAGAAAGTGCTGAAGACGTTCAGTCTGTTGAATCCAGAGATGAAATGCCTGAAGTATCTTCTCAAGAAGCTTCACATGTGAAAGTGCAAGAATTGGAGAAGATCATTTTATCTTCAAGCGTGAAAGTGATGTAGATGAAGGAGATGCCAGCAGAAGCCTGCATCAGCAAGACTCTGATGATGATGATGAAGAAGAAGAGGAGACTGTTCGACTGTCAGTTTATTCTGATGTTGCTGCTTGGCCAGTTCCAGATGTTTTAAGAGTGGACCTTATTAAGAGGGGAAGTGAACCTTTCCAAAATAGAGATGGGTCATTCAGTCCTGTTGAAAGGCAAGGAGAGAAATCAAAAGGGAAGAGTCGACAGCTGACCACTGCATTGTTCTATAAGGCTCTGCCTAATGGTGAAAAAATTCATAGAACGTGGATGGTGTACTCTCCATCAAAACAAAGTTTGTTTTGTTTTTGCTGCAGACTTTTTGCTGTTGATGACAAAGTAACAGGGGCATCCAGTTTTGTTACTGGGTTTCTATTGTGGTGGAAGCTGAACCCAAAGGTGTCTGATCATGAGGCTTCTGAGCAGCATCTTACATGCTTGGAGAAATGGAAGACCTTGAGAGCAGGATTGAAGCTACAAAAATGCCTTGATCATGTCCATCAAACAACAGTGGACAGAGAGAAAAAGAAACGGAGGGATATTTTGCATCACCTTTTGGATGTAACTTTGTTTCTGGCTCATCTTCCCTTTCGTGGTCCTAGAGAGACCATGTCATCCGCAAACAAAGGCAACTTCCTCGAATTCGTAGAATTGCTCTCAAACTATGTTCCCATTTTAAAGGAACATTTCATGAGGCTGAAACATGCTGTTGCATCTGGAAAGAGAATGACTTCCTATTTCTCTCCAAAAATTCAGAAAGAATTAATTTGTCTTTTGGGAAATCATGTGAAGGACAAAATAGTGGCTGATATCAAGAAAGCAAAGTACTTTGGGATTCTTTTTGACAGCACTCCTGATGTGTCCCACACTGATCAGATGTGTGAAGTGATCAGATATGTTCATATTGAAGGGGACCATGTTGAAGTAAATTAATCATTCTTGGGCTTCTTTCCTATTGCTGAAAAGCTCACAGAAAATATCCTGCAACATCTGGAGGAAAATGGACTAGACATAAGCCTTTGCCGTGGTCAAGGATATGATAATGCTGCAACTATGGCAGGGATTCATGGTGGTGTTCAGGCAAAAATAAGAGATTAATCCCAAGGCGTTGTTTATGCCATGTGCAAACCATTCCCTGACCCTATGTGGGGTGCACTCATTTGGAAGTGTTGCTTCCTGTGTGACCTTTTTTGGAACATTGAATAGAGTGTGTTTCTACACAATGTTGGGAATTGCTGATGGAGAATTTAGGTGTGACAGTGAAAAGACTTTCCCAAACAAGATGGAGCGCTCATTATGATGATGTGAAGCCAGGGAGGGCAAATTTTGAAAAACTGATTTCAGCCCTTGAAAAATTGTGTAATCCCAAAGAAAATGTGGACACAAGAGGATCGGCTCAGATGTTGCTGTCTGCTATATGTGATTTTTCTTTTTTGTGTTTCCTTTCTTTCTGGTGTGAAGTTCTAGAAGAAGTTAATATCACACAGAAATATTTGCAAACTGTGGGACTTACTTTTGAAAAGTGCATTGTGAAACTACAAGGTTTGAAAACGTTTCTAGCAGATAGGCGCAGTGAAATTGTGGAGAAGGCCATTTGTTATGGCCTTTTCAATGGAAAGAAGAGGGAGAGTAAAGCTCCGTAAAACAATGCCAGGAGAGAAGGCAAAGGACGCTGGTCTCACATTGCCAGAGGAAATGAAAAGGACTATGTTTGAGTGCCTTGATTGTTTTCATCACGAGTTGGAAATTAGTTCCCAGGCAATTGAAAAAATCCTTTCAATGTTTGCTGTTATTCAGCCAAACTCTCTGGTTGTGGCAACAGAGATAGATATTCATAATTATACTCCAAAATTGACTGAGATTTTTGACGAATTCTCTAATGAAGACATCTTTAGGGAAACTGAACGTCTTCGGAGGCATTTGGAAGCTGCCAAGACAATGTGTTGAAGAAGCAAAGAAATGGACAGCATTGCAGTTCCTGGAGTTCATTGTTAAATGGGATTATTGTGAATAATTTGTCACTGTGTTTAAGATTCTTTTTGACTCTCTGTGTGTCTATTGCTTCATGTGAAAGAAGTTTTTCCAAATTAAAATTGATAAAAAAAAATTATTTTGCTCAACCATGAGTGAGACAAGGTTGACAAATCTGGCTATACTTTCAATTGAGCATGAATATGCAAGGAAGATTGGCTTTGATGAAGTAATCGATAAATTTGCAGAAATGAAGGCTCGAAGGCAGCGGATGTGAATCATTGCACATTACCTTTGCCGAATAGACTGAGTGGTCACTTTGGATCTGTGTGTTTTTTCGTTTATAGAAAGCGTATTAACTGTTAAGTAAATGTTATTTAAATTTTATTGAATTAATTTATTTTTCTTAGTTCCATTTTTTTCAAGTTGATATACAGTTTACAAATTTGTGCAATAAATATGATTGAAAACATAGAAAAAATTGTGGGTGTTTTCTTACATTTTTATTATGGGGGGGGGGGAGCACACTCAGGGTCCGCCCGGGGTGCCAAATGCTCTAGGTACACTCCTGACTGTAGTGCCCTTTTAAGAGTTTAAGTAAATGTCAAACAGCACTTTGTGAATGCATGTTTGCATTTGAGTGTGTAGAATCTATGTCAATGGACCTTTTTATTGCCAATATGAAGGCATTTGTATATTTGTGGAATGTCAATGTGTGCATCGTCAAGGATATATGTGAGTGCAGTGAAACTGTGTATGAATGGAGGGATGCATTTTGTCTACTGCAAGAATATTAATACAGTCTTGTATTCAAATGCAATTTCAAATTTGCAAAAATGCATGTGTTTATTTGCACGTATTGTAAATGTGTGAATGTATTGTTTTATTGGAATGAAGAGTAGATGTGTCTGAATACAGCATTTTATTTATAGAGAATTATGACTAATGAATGCAGGGGAGTATTTGTATGGAATTTTGATGTATAAATGCACGAGTATATTCATATGAAGTGTCAGTGTGTGAATAGGAGTGTATTTGCGTGTTGTATTTGTGTCTACGTAAAGGAAGGAATATATGTACATAAATGTTTTTGTGTGAAAGAAGCTGTGTATATAAATGAAAGGGAGTGTTGGTGTGTGAATGCTGTTGTGTATTATTATTATTAAGTGTTCTTGCATAGCAAGACCACTTAATGTTATCTCACGTATATATTATTCTTATTATTATAGTCAAATTTACCACCCTAACTCCTCCCACAGTTTTTACATAGACAGTAATATACAGAAACGTGCGGATTGTTCCCGATTGGTGTGCTATGACTTTGGGGAATGTTTCGCTAAATGGTGCACGAAATATCATAGTTTTTATGGCGAAATTGGTCCCATAGGAATGAATGGCGAAATGTTCAAAACTAGAGAGGGAGCTGGCAAATCAGGGCATGATTTCTAAACTGCCACCACTCCCTCATTTTCAAGCCCACCTACACAAATCTTATATCAAAATGTTCAGCTATACCTGCTGCCACTAAACATGTCCACGGCTAAGCCATAGTCCTGATAGTTTTCACAATATGGCCATTTATTTGCAACTCACGCCGTTAATTGACATTCATTGAAACTCCACTCTAGCCACCTCACATTTGAAGGGCAATATCTAAACTGCGACTGTGCCTTCATTTTTAATATTTCAGAGACATACTATGCATCAAAATGTAGGTCTGGGTCTTGTGATTCTCACAATATAAAGCTCTTCACTGTAGGATTTATAATATGACCGTTTGAAGATGGCAACCGCCAGTGAAGTGAGCAATTTGGAGCAGTTTGTTTTTAGCCGCTCTTCTCTGCCCTATTTGAAATCTATTAGTTCCTGTTGGCAGTTGGTGGAATGTTCGAGGGATTTGAAAGATTTGAAAGCTTTTCTCTGCCCTTGCTGTAGAGTGAGTAAACCATACTCCAACCTTTCCACAGTTACTCCAGCCACTCCAACCACACAACAGTTACTCCAGCCACTCCACCCAGTTACTCCGCCCACTCCAGTTGTAGACTACTGGTGGAGGCAAGAAGACTTCACACAATTTCCTCAGAAATTTTAGCTTTTCTAGTTATTATTATTACTATTTAAATAGCGCCAACAGATTCCGTAGCGCTTTACAATATTATGAGAGAGGGGATTTAACTATAAATAGGACAATTGCAAGAAAACGTTTAGGAATGATAGGTTGAAGAGGACTTTGCTCCAAAGAGCTTGCTATCTAATCAATACCATTAGAAATTCAACTGGTAAGCCATAACTGTTTTCAATGTGATCACAAAATGATCATAATGTGATCATAATCCAAAATTGAATAATGGATTTTCTAGTAGTAATGTCAAAATTAATGATTCTAAACCAAGCTTAAAGGACACTTTAGTCACCAAAACTACCCCATCCCATTTAAGCCGTTTTGGCGCAAAGACCATGCCCCTGATGTCCCACTGCCCAACTCACCATCTAGGAGCCAAATCACTTTTGTTTCTGTCTATGCAGCCCTTACTCCTCTTCCCACTGGCATAGCCTGCATGAAATTTATTTTACATTTTTAATCAGATGATAACTTATTTTAAATATTTGTATCTTCTGCTCTGTATAAACAAAGTGATTGATTCAACTTCAAAATGGCAGAAAAATGAGCAGTGAGACTGCAGGGGCTCGACATACACACCAAAACTGCTCTAACAAACCAAAGCTGCCCCGGTGACCACAGTTTCGCCTTAACTAGTGAATTTGTTGCTAATCACAAGATTTCACATTTGGTATCCCAACATTGCGTTGTTAAAGGCAAAAATGGTTACTTTGTAGGAATATCAATTATATCACAGGTTGAAGGTTACAGGCAGCCAGTTCATTAACCTGGCATCAAGTACACTGTGTACATGGGAGCCACGGGGCTCACTATGAAGTCACCTTGTTCAGAAAACCACATTAGATACACACTTACCAACTTGGAAAGAGGTCTAAAGCCAATAACATAATAGAGGTGAATGAATAAGAGTTGATGCCTGGATGGGGAGTTATGAGAAATAGTACAAGAAGTGAGCAAATGCAACAAAAGGGTGACTGTGAGGGCAAGATAGGGGGTTTCAACTGATGCTGTGATTGTGGCTGAGAAAGCTAGGCTAAGTGGCCTGCAAGTACTGGTGGCAAATGGTGTATGAAGGGATGACAATGGAGATAGGGGTGCATGAAAGACAACAAACTTTTGAATATAAAGAGCAATACAGGGAAGTTCAGGGATAGGAAGAAAGGGGGACACAGACACAAAGACAAACTAGGTGGGCACGTATGCGCTATGCACAAAGACAAAAATTGTAGTTGATAACATTATAAAAAACTGTAATCTTACAGACAGGAGTACTAAGCATACATTTTCTTTATTCATTCAAGTAATGTAGGTGGCTCCTGACAATATAAACCTTACAGAAGGCTTTCCGTTGCTCTCCTATATGTTGGAGATGATCGTTGTTGACTATTCAGGCATAGACAATGTTTCTGTGAGCTTCTTTTGCTGGGATATCAAACTTGGTGATGTAGATTTGGCTTGTAATATCAGTCACTGATCTTTCTTAGAGTTCTGGGAGCAGGATCGAATCAATATGTTGTCTTGGTGGAGCTGCCAAAAAATATTCCTAATAGTGTGTGAATTAGTGTTGTTGCCCATGATCATTAGATCCACACGCATTAGTCCATTTCTCTAAACTAGACAAATGTACACTGTTATGAACAAGACCACCCCAGGCGTCCATGTCACCTAGTTCAGTAGGTGCAAGGATTAAAAATCACTTTGCCTCTTAAAGTCACCCACAACTATTCTGACATAAATGCTCCTGACATCAGGGCAATTTACAAATGGGTAGTCCTAAGTTATCCCAAATTAAGTAAAACACAATTTAAAATGTTGCTCTGTCACTTTCTTGGGTGTATTT